AGGACTCAGAGATTTGGAGAAGGGGGGAGGGCAGATAGCAATATTAACAAGGAAAGGAATCATTATAAAGGAGTTTGTGATTAAGGACCCCATTGTGGAACTAAAGGCAACTGAAGAAGAAAAAAACGGGATATAAACATAAAACATAAAAACATAAACATAAAAATAGTGGCATGTTGGCATGTACACTTAGTGTACATGCCAACTCATGCATCGGTGTGGTCACAAGAAAATTATCAAAAACTAGTTTTAAAAATATTTAAGAGATTGCAAATGCTAAAACAATGCAACATAAATTCTTGCAACAGGGGATTGTAATAGCTAAATTGGCTGGGATAATTTCGAATCCAGAGCAAAGACACATTCAAAGCAAAACTACCAGTCATAAATGAGTATTTCTTTTTTCTAAATGTAACAGATCATACCGTGATGAGAGGGCTAGGCAGGCCGTCTATGCTTGACCTAACATTCACAAAGCATAAATGATACAGAGAATATGGAGTACTGTTCCCCTCTAGAAATAAGTGTCCATGTGGTAATTAAACGAAAATACTTTCTACTGCAGGAAAAAAAAATCAAAAGTAAGAAAAGAAAAGGGAAGTTCAACTACAAGAGATGTAATTATTTGAAACCTTAGAAATTTCTTTGATGATTTAAACTTTGAGAATATCCTGAACGAAGAGAACGGTGGCGTACAATAGTCATAATTCTGCGAAGTCTATAAGAAAGGAGTAGACAAGGACAGATTCATAATTGAAGCAAGAAATGGCTAAAAGTGGTTCAATGATTTATGAAAAAAGCTCCTTTGGAAAAGGTTCAGAAGGCATAAATCTCAAGTAGCGTATGAAAAAAAATATAACGTAGGAAGAACCATGAGAGAGGCGAAAGGGGTATAATCAATAAATGGACAAATCAATCAAAGCTCTTCTCCGTTTATATGACATTTTTTGAAGTACTGCAAGAAAGATACGACGGTGAATTGTGTATAATTGGAGTCTAAAAAGGCGTTTGATCAATTGTCACATGAAATACTTATGGAAAATAGAACACCTAGGTGAACTGAAACTCTTCAAATGGATGAAACGCTTCGTACATAATTTTTACTCTTTTCACAAATGATTTAAGGTCAAGCATAATCCCAGGTAGTTATCTGAATGCAATTGAAAAAAGGGATAATAGACGACGCCTCGTAGTTTGGGAAACAAGAACTCGCCTAAATGATCATAAAATGCTTGGATTGATTACCAACATGAAGAGGGCATTCATTTATGTGGACGAAGATATGGTAAAGAAGATCATTACAGTAATAGTAAGACCTATTCTAAAGTACAGTGCAGGGTCCATGCTTAAAAAAGGATATAGATAAACTGGAAAGAGTTCAAAGACCAGCCACGAGATGGGCCCTTACTCTAAAAGATATATATTACAAAGACAGACTAAAGAAAATATGATTTACTACTTTTGGGGAAAGAAGGGAAAGAGGCTACATGATTTTGCTGTTTATCTATCTTACAGGCAGAGTAAAGTTAGATAAAGATGGCTTTATAGTTTTGAACACAAGAATGACAAGAGCACACATTCAAAGGTTGAAAGTTAAAAGATGCGATAAAGATGTTACAGAGTTCAAGCTTCCCAAATAGAACTATCGAAACATGGAGCAAATTCCCAATTAACGAGACGTGCCAAAGATGTGCGTTAATTTAAAAAGTTATACGATGAATATGGTTGACTCACTTTCTCGAAGAGATCGATGCAGGCCTGAAGATCCATTCCAAAGTCGACAAAGACCCAGTCAATTGCCTCTCTCTTATACTCCTCTTGCTCAAGCACGAACATGTGGTGGTTGAAGAACTGCTGCAACTTCTCGTTGCAGAAGTTGATGCAGATCTGCTCGAAGCCGTTGAACTGCAAATGTGGGGTTAAAGCACTATTATGGAAAGGGAGTGAAGAGGAACATTACCGTTTTGGAACAAATTTGCTGTGCATTAGAAATTCAGGAAGTGAGTAAACCTAATATTTAGTAGAAAACTAGTACACATTTAATAAGAAAAAAAAAGAACGAATCCAAATAAAAGCAAGAGAATTTGCTGTGCACTTACGTCAAAAATTTCGAAGCCAGCAATATCTAAGACACCGATGAACATAGCACGCTTCTGCCCGGTCTCCAAAGTCTGATTGCACTTCTTCACCAGCCACTTGAACAAGCGGTCGAACATTGCTTTGGACAAGGCGCCGACGGAATAGTTCACTTGGTTCACGTTCCTGCCCTGCGTGACGAACTCGGTGCCCACTTTGATCTTAGGCTTGCACAGGTTCTTGTATAGTTCGCTCCCGTCGATGCCGAGCAGTTTGCCCACCACCTCGCCGACCTGGATTCGAGGCGAAAGAAGCGTTCAGACACTTATCATGAGGGGGGGAGGGGGAAGAAGGAGGCAATTGGGCACTGTCATTGTACGTATAGAATATTAGTTATGAATGTAGCTTGATTAGTAGATGATAATAATAACAAATCCCTGATGTGTAACATATGTACAAAATATCATCATGTGGTGGATAGTTTCCACCAGTCAGTGTTCATTGGTATTACGTTATTAGAATTATTAACAGTATTGACAATAATGACGATGGGTACCTCTTCGCCGTCAGATTCGGCCTGTTCCTCGCGACCTCTCTGCTTGAACTTCATCTCGCCCATGTGCATGACAGCGGCGGTGATCATATAGCAGTTGTCACGCTCTTCGCTGGAGAAATTGAGAATGTCAAATGCATTCTGAAAATGGACAAAGGAGGACAACGATAAATTCACCGATGTAGGAATATAACTCATATTCTTAAGCAGGATATTTTTTTCTGATTTTACATTAAACTTTTTCATCTTAAACTTTATTTTTAAAACTTACGTGAGTGAATTCCATTTCTTCTTTGTCATCGATGGACGGCACGGTGACCTTGCCCTGGGACACGAAGTGGTAGTCATAAATGTCGTCGGTAAGGAAGCACAGAGCTGAAAGCGAACACAAAATAATCGAAAATCTGACTCGCGGAGGAATTGAATTCTGTCCTCTCGGGTGCTTATTTAATCTATACCTCTTTTAGATTTTTCTCTTTCCCACCATAGAGATTGCATTCAGCCAATTCTACTTACATTTCATTTCTTTAACCTGGTCAGACATCATCTGGTAGAAGATGTGGTAGGATCGCTCGAGCGGCTGCTGCGAGATGACGCGAGCCTTCTCCAGCAGGTACACCTCGATGTCGCCGCCGGAGAGCTTGCCGTTGGGGCCGAAGTGGATGCGGATGAACTTGCCCTGCGACACACACATGAAACACGAGGATGCGAAACAGATATCAAGGTGTGAAATGTACAGTCACCACATTTTCAATTTCATCAACAGAAAGGGAAATACTAACGAAACGAGATGAGTTGTCATTCCGAGTGGTCTTGGCGTTACCGAAGGCCTCAAGCACAGGGTTAGTCTGCACGATCTGGTCCTCTAGGTTCTGGAAGGCAATAAAGCACTTTGATTTAAATGATGGGCATAAAGAAAACAAATGAAATTTAAAGAAGGAGGTAGGTAAATATCAAAACGCATTTGTTTTAGCTTATATGCATATATAGGCATACACACACGCATACACAAACACCCCCCACCACACACACACATACATATGCAAACAAACATCCCCCCTCACCCACCCACAGACACACAGACACACACAGATATCCATACATTTATGTATATATATATATATATATATATATATATATATATATATATATATATATATATATATACACATATATACATGCATATATATATATATATATATATATATATATATATATATATATATATATATATATATATATATATATATATATATATATATATAAATGTATATGCATCTATGTATATGTATACATATAAATGTGTTCATGTGAATGTACAAATGTATGCAGACATATGTAAGTGAGTGAATGAGTGTGTATACATATAGTTATATATTTGTGTGTGTGTGTATGTGCGTGACTATATGTAGTTGCAGATGTGTGTTGAACACAAGCAATACTGCTTATGCGACTGCAAACTGTATTTTTTACCGGTTTACTGTCGTCCTTCTTCTTAGTAGAAGCTCCGACGTTGGCGAAGTAGGACAGCACCTTTTTCGTGTTCTCAGTCTTGCCAGCGCCAGACTCTCCGCTGGAAAGGAAAGAGAAAGGTATAGAGTAAATTCAAGAAAGCGGCAGGGCAAATAAAGATGTCACTTGACTTTCATATCTTGAAATATTTTAGAATTACATCTACTCTATATATAAAAAGGAGACACGTTTTTATTCCCCAATAAACTTACGTAATCAGCATTGACTGGTTCTCGCCATCTAAAGTAAAAAAAAAATAATAATAATATGAATTTAAGGCGTAACTTTACTGTAATCTTTTTTTTTTTACTCACGGGATTCTTGTATACGCTACAGAGAGAGGAATGTTATGAACGTTATTCATAAACATATTAGTACAATAAATAGAAAAGCAAAGATATGATCTTACTTTGTAGCATGTTCATGTAAGCCCCGTCAGCAATAGCAAAGAGATGGGGAGGCACCTCATTACGCCTCTTGCCTTGGTAGATCTTAACGGTGCGGTTGGTGTAGATGGGGAAGCGCTTGTAGGGGTTGACGGCGATGCAGAAGAGGCCAGAGTAGGTATAGATAAGCTTGGCCTGGTAACGGCTGGACAAGTTGTACAGGACGGAGGCATCGTTCAGGTAGGTCAGGTTGGACATGTCCTCGCATTTCTCATACTTGGGAGGGT